TTGTCCTACCGGTGATGACTGATATTAAAACCCTATAATAACTGTAATAAAATGAAGTAAATATTCACTTTGACATGTTTACAATAGAAAGCAGACACTGAAATAGGAAATGCGATTATTTATTATCAAGGCATTATTACTGTTGCATTTTTATCAGGCGGGGTAGCTTCTCCTAGAAGACACGTGGCGAACAAAGATTACAAAAAAACCGGTTCCTTTTTCTGACCAGGCAAAAAAACTAGTTCAGCGCTTCTATTGGGTACACATTCTACACGGTACGCCGAAGTTCACCATATTCCTTCTCACGTGATCTGTATTTTAATCCTCGATATTTTACTGTTTGATATAGGAAATAGGAAGTGAAATTATGAGTTCTTGCGGAATAAATATTGTTGCCTTTTTATCAGGTGGGCTACATTATTCTAAGAGGCACGTGGCGATCCAAAATACCAAGAAAGCCTGTTTTTTTCTGGCCAGACAAAAAATACTTCGGCTCTTCTATTGCGTACAAATTCTGTACAGTCCACCCTTTTCCCCCCCACGTGATCTGTACTATCATGATCGTCATCAAGATTTTTATGTTTGGTATGCGAACTGGGAAATGTGATAGTCAGTTTTTTTAGGAATTATTTCTGTTACTAAAATAACAAAAAAAACTGTTTCTTTTCCTGACCAGTCAAAAAAACTAGTTCAGCGCTTTTATTGCGTACACATTCTACACAGTACGCCGAAGTCCAGCATTTTTCTCCTCACGTGATCCGCATTATAATTCCCAATACTTTTTATGTTTGTAATGGGAAATAAGAAGTGGGATTATGAGTTCTTGGGGAATTGTTTCTGTTGCCTTTTTATCAGGTGGGTTTAATTCTAGTAGGAGGCACGTGGTGATCTAAACTTACAAAAAACCTGTTCCTTTTTCTAACCAGGCAAAAAATACTTCAGGTCATCTATTGAGTACAAATTCTGAACAGTCTACAATTTTCCTCCCCACGTAATCTGCACGATCAACAGCATCATCATCATCAAGGTTTTAATGTTTGGTAGGCGAAATGGGAAATGTGATTATCAGTTCTTTAAAAGTTATTTCTGATGCCTTTTTATCAGGCGGGATAGATTCTCCTAGGAGGCACGTGGTGATCCAAAAATAACAAGAAAAGCTGTTCTTTTTTCTGACCAGGTAAAACAATACTTCAGCTCTTCTATTGAGTAGGAATTCTACACAGTCCACAATGTTTCTGCCCACGTGATCTGCATTATAACCTTCAAGATTTTAATGTTTGGTACAGGAAATGGGAAATATGTACTATGAGTTCTTTGGACATGATTACTGTTGCCTTGTTATCAGGCGGGGGAGATTCTCCTAGGAGGCATTTGGCGAACCAAGATAACAAGAATATCCGTTTCGTTTTCTCCGTCAGTATTCCACAAATTTCTCTGGATAATTCTAAGCGTCGGAGTCCTCGGAAGTACACTTTTAGTTAGTATCCCTGCCGCAAACCTACCGATTTAACTAAATTCAGCCAAATGCACAGTAACATTATTGTAACAGTTCTGAAAAATGAGAAAGTGCACTTGTCAACTTCATGTCCAATTTGAAAACACTGAACTGCATAAAGTTAACTGGAGCTTAAAAGCATTTACTAGGTACCACATTTCAAGGCTGGTTTCAGAGGTAAAGTAGAG